TTCTGGTCAAGGTTAGTGTTTAATCATATTGCTTTAGATCAATTGATTCACAATCTGATGGATTTACTGTTTTACGGAAAACAAAAGGTCTAACAATTGGTATCAAAGCCACTATCCTATCAGATTGAATTATTGACATTAAAATCATAAGTAGTCTTAATTAATTCTCAAGAACAATCAGAATTACATATTCTGTGTTCATTCTTACTATAAGAATCATGCTCAAAGATTTGATTAGGCTACTTAAAGAACCATCCACATGTCATCAAAGTGACTATGGATGAACGTAATCCAAGTACTATCAAAATAGTCAAGGAAAGAKATGATATTTGCAGATTAAGAAACTGCAATAATCCAATATTTATGACTATAACATACTGTCACAACAATTTTTATATAGCATAGATATTTATCAAAGATAAGATTCTGAGTTTTTGATGCATCCACAAAAGTCGGACTAATTCAAATTCTTATCTTATTTTATATATGCGATTATGAGTTTTTGATACTTCCACAGAAGTCAGACTAACTCAGATTGTCATCCTATGTTCAGATTGAATTTATACATATGTGCAGAACTGTTTCAAACAGATTAATACAATGCACAACACATGTAAATTCAACAAATATAGCAATTTTTGGGACGAACTATCAATAACTAATTAGACAATTATGTATATAYACATACATGGTGATGCAGGACAGTATCCTATGAGTATTGTCAATTTTGCACCATTAAATGGTGTAAATTATAAGAAGTGGAAAGAAGACATTGAATTAAACCTGGGAATCTTAGATTATGATCACGTTCTTAGAGAAGACCCACCAGYAGAACCTGCAAATGATGCTTCAAGGGAAATTAAAGCCAAACATCAAGAGTGGCATAAGCACAATAAAATAGCCCTGATTTACATGAAGAAATGCATGACTGATGCAGTAAAGGGAGGAATACCAGACTTCGATCTCGCTAAAACTTATTTTGCTTCGATTGGAGACAAATACAAGGTATCTGATAAAGCAAAAACTGGGTATCTCATGAATAAATTAATCAGAATGAGTTACAAAGGACAGGGAAGCATCAGGGAGTACATTCTGCAAGGAATTGATACCTCCTGCAAACTCAAAGAGATGAAAATTGAAATTGATAATTCATTTCTTGTCCATCTGTTGTTAAACTCATTGCCTGATCAATATAGCCACTTAAGAAGCCTGTATAATACTCAAAAAGAGAAATGGACCTTAGATGAATTGATCTCCATATGTGTCCAGGAAGAATCCGAGATAAAAAACAAGGGAAAGGCAGTGGCTGTAAATCATGTGGTAAAATTTAAGGATAAGAAATACCCAAGATCACAAAAGGGAAAATCTTCCAACTATTCTGTCAAAAATGATAAGACCAAAGGAAAATTCTCAAAGAATCAAAAGGAATTGAAATGTTTTTTTCTGCAAGAAAAGGGGACATTTCAAGAAGGAGTGTGAGGGATTTAAAGAATGGCTGAATAAGAAAGGTACTTATGGTCATTTCTTTTCTTTAGAACCTTTTGATYATGATTGTGGCAATTCATGGTGGTTTGATACTGCCTCACCAATACATATTGTGAATTCAATGCAGGGATTGTCAAAGATAACAATTCCAAGATTGAATGAATCCAAGATATGTACAGCAAATGGTCAAGCACTCAAGGTTCAAGCTATGGGAGAATGCAAGCTCTTGTTTAAGAATAATTAT